AGAAAAATGTCTTATTCTGGGGGCTGGAGAGATGGCTCAGTGGTTAAAAGCACTGACTGTTCTTGCATAGGACTCTGGTTGGATTCTCAGCACCCACATGGCTAACAACCTGTAACTCCAGTTCCAGGGGATCTGATGCCCTCTTCTGACCTCCATGGGTATTACATGACACAGGTGTACCTAACCTACATGTAGACAATGCACTCATACACACAAAATAAAGATAACAAATAAAATATTTTTTTAAAAAAGCAAAATATTTTATCTGAAGGTATCTATTCTATGGCTAACTGGCTTTCTCTCACACAATATATAGAATTATAATGGAACTGGTACTTAAATTAATGGCTACAAAGTTAATAGGTAAAGATAATATCATCTCTGTTAAATACCCCATCCCTTAAAACATATTTAATAGAAACTATATTTTCATTCACTACTTTTCTTACAGAAGTGTCTTCTAACCAGTAATCTTTACTGGAAATGTTTTAGAAAAAAAATGGAGGAAGCTGATGTTCAAGAGACAAACCAAGATGGCAGCCAATTCTTCTTGGGTTCTGTTTGCACAATTCTTTTTCATAGTATCTGACTATAACAAGCATATATGGATGAAATTTTATCTCAAAAATTCTGAAACCATCTCATATATTCACAATAGATTTAATCATCAATAACAATTCATTAGAAAGTTCAGCATTCACGCCAATTAAAACTATAGCGTCATTGCCTTTAATCATGCCAATTTCTGCTTCCTCTCTGAGCATGTTTTTCAAGGGGTCCCACTTTCCATATTTAAGGTTAATAGGACTACCCCTTTACAAACAGCACTCACGATTGTACAAAGTTACGCTTTAAAAAAATGTATGTGGGAGCTGGGCATGGTGGTGTACATCTTTAATCCCAAGCATTTCAGAGCAGAGATAGATGGATCTCTGTGAGATGGAGGCCAGTCTGGTCTACACAGCAACTTCAGGCCAGCTGGGGCTACAGTGAGACCCTGTCACAGACAACAACAATAACAACAATGAAACAAGGGCCATGGCTCAGAGCAGCACTGGCTGCTCCTCTTGCAGAGGACCAGGTTTCCATTTCCAGCACCCACATGGCAGCTAAAATCAGATGTAACTCCAGTTCCAGAGATCTGACACCTTCTTCTGCTTCTGTGGGCATTGTACACATGAGGTATACTTACATTCATGCAGGCAAAACACTCATACACATAAAATTAAAATCAGTCAAAATACATTTTTTTAAAAATCTGATACCACTATTTCTTCTGTCACCAAAATTTCCTAGGTTCCAACTAACTAGATTAATTGATATCAGCTGTTACCTACCATCTTAAATGATTCTTTAATTCAACAAATGTTCAGTGTGTGCCTGTCATGTGCCAGCATTCTTCTGGTTACTTGAGATATAAAATGGGCAATGCAAGACAAAAATTCTTTCCTTCATAGAATAATACAGTAACATTCTGGAGGCCCAGAAAACCTAGTGGCCCAGAAAAGCCAATGGCAGAGATCCAGTTAAAACCTAAAGGCCTGAGAATCAAAACAACCAATAGTGTATGAAGTACCAATGTTCCAGGGCAGGCTACCAGGGGCGCCAGGCAGGAATAATTCTAACCAGTTAATATCTCAGCAGTTAATTAGACACCCACAGCTTAGTCAGGTTGACATAGACAGTTAACTGTCCTGAGAACTTCAATGATGTTGGTGGCTGCATAAGGAGGGCAATGGTAGGAGTGCCGAGAATTGCTGAATTCTGCTATTTCTTAAGCTGAACTGATAGGTTCTGCTGAAATACTGAATGTGTGCTTGTCAGAAGAATGCAAAGTTGACAGTGTTTTGGATTTTGAAGGCAGGCATATGCAGTTTTGGTCTGGGGAAGACACATGGTCCCATGGGTATGGGGGAGAGGGAAAGGAGAGCCAAGAAACTAACTAATCAGAAGACTACCTTGATGGTTACCTTGGAAAGTTACTTGAAATGTTGTTAGTACTTCATAGAACCAAAATCACAAATCAACAATTGTTGAAAACAAGGAGTTTCACCAGAGGTGAATGGAGAAGATAATGGGCAGGTGATGATATACGCACCCCTCCAATCATACTCCTTTAGAACATTTTCAATGGAAAACTGGAGACCCACGTTTCTTATTAACTCAGAAACTCTTAAAGCATCCTTTGTGGTATATTTTCTAATAGATCCAGCCCAGGGGGCTCTCAAGCATAAATCCTCAAGCTCTATTAAAACCCCTTAAGAACATGGTCAAGGCATAACCCAAGGAGCTCACACACTGGAAAAAAGCCTCAGTATTTCTAGTGTCCCTTGAAGAGATTTAATCTCCTCCCCAGGCCTCAAGAGAGGCAGGGGAGTCAAGATGAGGACTGCCACATGCAGTGAGGAGACAGAATTTCTGGAGCTATTTCTCCCTTGTCTACATAAGGAAAGATTTTTTTTTTTTTCTGAACTAAGCAGCTTTCCATTCCTTCTTTCCTAGAAAATATTTTCATCTCCGTGAAAATCTACATCCACAGGGCATGAAGTATGGTACTAGCTAAAGTTCCTTTCCAGTAAAAGACTGAGACCAGAGGTTCTCAAAACAGATTCTGGGCAACCTTACAACATTTCTGAGAACCTGTTATACAAACAGACACAAAAGGATTTAGTTCACCCTAATAAGCCCCTGGAGTCATTTTTTCCCAATGAACCAATAGCTAATGAGAATGTTGTACCTTGCAGTGCTGGGGATGTACAGAGGGAAGGAGGTTAGGGTACCACACCAAGGATTCCCAAGGCACACAAAAATCTGTAAATCTGTCCTCAGGCCTAGAGAAAAGACACAAACCAAACAAGACCCTGGGATGGACTGTTAAGTAATTGTGTGTAGAGGAATGAAAGACATGTGATGAACCACTCCAAGAACTAGTATTAAAACAAACAACCCAAATGTAAATACGAACACTATTTGCTTCAATTAAGTCTAAGCTACAGGACTGCGAACTTTAATATTTCCTCAGTGTACAGCTCTGCTAGTGCTTTCACCATTATTAAAGTATGTTTATACAGGGTTTGGCTTTTCATCTATTATGGAAAAATTACATCTTGCCAACAGCACTACAGAGGCCTAAACAGTAAATCCTCCACTGACCTTGAACCCAAGCTAAAGCAAATAGTCATTCTCCTTGGTGCTAAACTGCCTAAATAATACCCTGCATAAATGGCTGTGAATATAAATTATACCTACGATGGATCTTAGCATTATGGATTACCCACCATTTTCCCAGAAGGCAGTGTTTGCAGAAGAACTGCAAAGTGAAGAAAATTCCTAGGGAGGAAACGCCTTATGCGTTCACTCACAAATGATGATAATTTGCTTATGAGCGCTTAGCGCATCCAGGGCTTTGAGCCCCACAAAGGAAGTGGCAAGGTGCTGACAGCATCTGGGCAGAAGATTTCACAAATGTAGAAGGAAAGTGACTTCTCAACAGCAATGTCCTACCAAGATGAGAGGCAGGTATAGCAGAACACCTAAAAGAGTGAAGCACTGTGGAACAAGTTCAAGAAAACAGAAGAACAGACAGCAACATGGTCAGCCAAAGTAGCAGTATGATATTTTCATTACAGCCAACAAGAAAATTTATTAACATGAAAATCTGCTTACAAGATCATATTAAATGTGAACAGCAAGATACAAAATGATAAAGATATAAAATCATGCACACAAAAGGCTAGAGTATGGAAGAAAGACAGAGAAATCAAAGCCACTGAATGTGGCAGAATTATGGACATATAGGTTTTCCTTTGAAATTTCCTTTATACTATATTTTAGTGGTTATTAGAGATTAGTACACCCATGAGTAGTCACAACTGTATTTGAAATGGCAAAAAGGGGACTCTAAACAGGTCAGTAGTTAGCCAATCACACTACATTAGGGGAGATAAGAATGAGGAAATTGTCTGACTATAAGCATAGGAGAAGGTTTATCATATTCATCTATAAAATTCTGAAGAAAAAGTGACAGGGAATTTTGGAACAAGAGAAGAAAGTAGATGGCAAAAAGTGAGACTGAGGATTAATAACAGTGAGTAAGACAGCACAAAGGAAAGCAGGAACGAAGTACACAGAATTTATGAGGGAACTCCCAACACGTGGTTGACTTACCAAAAAAGCCAGTCAAGCACAAAGAAATCTGGCTCCATGCTCAGTCCTAAATGGGACACATATATCATACCCTCTCCTTCCAAGGCTCAAGGATCATTGTAGCAGGGGGACAGGGGTGGAAAGATTGTAAGAGCCAGAGGTGGTAGATGAATACAAAAACTGTTGTCTAGGCACAACAGGGATGTTGCACATATGAACCCACAGTCCTTATGACAGCATGCATATGACCTGTGCAAGCCCAAGCCAGATAAAAACTCAGCATGGTCCAGTGTGGTGATGTACACCTTTAATCCAGTGCTCAATAGACAGAGGTAGGTGGGTTATTGTGTGACCTAGGCCAGCCTGGGATGGTCTACATAGTGAGTTCAAGTACAGCTGGGACTACGTAGTGAGGCACTGTCTCAAACAAACAAAACAAACAAACAAACAAACAACAAAATAAAACAACAACAAAAATAAAAAACCCAGCACATAAAGTGAGGAGATGGGCAAAAACCCCAAGCCTGGATGAGGAACTATTGGTAACTGATGGTTGCTGGGAGCAGAAAAGGCAGTTTTCTTTAAGGATATGATTGATATCTGATAGGTAGACCAGACTCCAAGGGATGGACTCACACCCAAGAACATTTTGGAAACACAAATTAGACTCAATAGGCCTTTTAAAAGGGTAAAATAATAACACAGGCTATGAAGTTTGGGGTGGGTAGTAGGGTAAGGGTGAAAATGAAGGGGTTTCTGAATATAAACAAAATACTTAGTATGAAATTCTCAAAGAATCAATAAACCTTTTTTTTAAAAAAGAAAGAAATCAAATCCATTAACCCGAAACTCACTTTCTTGCTTCCAAATAGCAGTCTGAACCTCAGAATGCAGGCAACAAAGCCAGTCACGGCAACTTCAGTAGCACTGTACATCTGTCACAACAGAAACCATAAATATTTTCATGTCTCACTGTAATTATTTCTGGTGTCTCAAAATACTATCTATGTTCATCAGCACTTTGAAATTACAGTGGCCGTTTTCCTCACTACAAGCACTACTATAATGTGCCAATGAAGAAGAATGCATATTGCAATAATCCAAGTAGGTTTTAATAATTTGATATTTCAATATAATTGCTTCCTTACCAGTCCAGGCATTTCACACATTCATACACTGCATTTTGATAAATAGGCCATACACTTGAGCAGTCCGCTAAAGAGGTCCATGACTCTAAAAGAGACTAAGACCCCTGTTCTTAACCACCTGGCCCAAGCACAGAAAATATTACGTAGCTACCAAGCCCATTGTTTGTAACACTTTTAAATGTAAAAATAAAAACGCTATTTGGGAGTCTGCAACCATTCTAATATATAGGATTAATACAGATATATTAATGAAGTTAAAAACTAATTTCATGACTTACATAATAAAGACGCCGACTCACACAGCAGTCTCACTTGAGTCATTTTTATTACCTTCAAGCATAGGGTCAAAAACAAACATTTTAGTTAAGGATTTGGCTTTGAACCTTACCTCAAATTTCCTACTTGGCCAAGCCTAATTTTTCTTGTCTCTATAACATCAGTGATAATATCCCCCATAAAAGATTATTAAGAGGATTTAATAATATATACAGAGCACAACATAATACATGCTCTCAGCATGTACTCATACACGTACCTGACATCATGAATACTCAATAACTTGTAGCAGTATCCTGTTCTAGTTATTAATGTTATTTAAATCTTAATTTAATTGTCTTCAATATGATTTCTTTAAAAGCATCTATTATTAAGAGGTAATTAGCATACTGCTTCAGAATACCAACTCTTTTTTGGGGGGTTCTTTTTGAGACAGGGTGGTCTCCCTGCAGGCCCAGCTGGCCTGGAACTCACTATGTAGACCAGGCTGGCCTTGAACTCACAGAGATCTACCTGCCTCTGTTTCCCAAGTGGATTAAAGGCATGAGCCACCACACCCCACCACAATTCCAACTCTTAACAACAGACTACCTGGGTTTGAATTGTACCCTACCACTTCCAAGCTCTGTGACTCTGGATAAATTATTTAATTTCTTTGAGATATCATTTCAGATATATATCATAAGAAAAACAAGAGAATCTATCTCTTAGGGATGTTATGAGGGTCAAATTAGTAACCATATGTAAGGCACATTGCAAAGTTCTGGTACACAGCTCTTTGTAATTATTAAGTATTATTGTAACTTAATAACAATACTTAATAACTAATATAATGTAATATTATTATTACAATAGCAATTATGTAATATCTTCTCATCAAATTACATAGAACTTCTTAATCCTTCTTTAATCTGAACACTACTTAACATTTATCACATAAGAAGTGAAGTCAGCCCTATTTAAATGAAACTATTTCCACGGTGAATAAGAACAAGGAATGCTACAAATTCAGCTACAATTCTTTCCAAAGAGTGACTACAAAAATCCCACATCTCATGGCTTTAAAACAAAGTCAAGACTGTGCAAGAAAGAATCTACATTTTTTAAAAAAAATTTTTATTTTATTTTATGTGTATGCATGCATTGCCTGCATGTAGGTAAGTGTACCCATGTCGTGCAATCCCTGCAGAGGACAGAAGAGGCTGTTGGATCCCCTGGAACTGGAGTTATGGACAGTTGTTAGCTGCCATGTGGCTGCTAGGATTCAAACCTGGGTCTTCTGGAAGAACAATGTTCTTAACCACTGAGCCATCTCTCCAGCCCCAAGAATCTATACTTTAAAATGGTTCCTTTACAACACAGATCTAAGCACTCTAAGGATAAACCTAACTTTGCTCTCTTACCTTTAAGTAGGTACATACGGGAGTCTTCTGAGGCCCTAGGCAGAGCTCACCTTGGAGAAAGGAGCCATGGAAATGCTGGGCTTCATGACAACAGCAAGGACCATGTCAGCATAATAGGAAGAGAGATTCATCTGTTTCCCAGCAGGGGACTAGCCTCGCTCCTCACCTGGCAATTAGTAGGGTTTGACTTAATTCAAACATATTTAAACCACAGAGCTCTGAGAATGTGACTGATGATATTTTCCAAATTGAAACTAGCAGGAAATTAGTGATAACAAGCACTTTGTTTCTTCCATCTTTTTAGGTACTGGAGTAATTACCTCGCCATCATGGCAGCACCCTCACCAGTATGTTTCACTGCTTCTGCTAAAAGTACATTCCCAAGAGAGAGAAAAACAGGAACCTTTCCCACTTGAAAGGAAAATAAAATTTGGGAAATATTATCAGTCAGTGAAGTATTGATGGATGATGAGCAGGCTCCATTCTTCAGGGCTCAAGTCTGCACTATTTCCAGCATCCCTTAGTGGTGCCCAGACCATATCATTCAAGTTGAGGGATGAAAGAGCTGCCCTTGCAATACTGGCTTTCAGTACCAGAAGGGACTTTGCAAAGCACTGGAGGGAGAGATGAACCTAGCTTTAGTGCTTGGACCACTAGATCACAAACACACTAAGAAGGTTATGAATGTTCTAGACTGCTAAGCTAGATTCTCCACCCTCCTGGGATTCTGCAAAGGAGAACTTTTACCATTCAGATTAAGGCAAGACCTCTGATCTGGAAACTTTTGTCAAAATGCACCTGGAATAAGATTGACAAATGTACCCTCTACAGGTGAAGTCAGAGGAAGAAAGGAAACCCAGAAACATAGATCCACAAATATAGTACATTGCCAAATTTGGTGCATAACTTTCCATGTGATTTTCTTTGGAGTCCATTCAAATAAAATAATTTTACATGACGTGCTAATATAGAACCTTTATGAATGGTATAATCTCTTTTTAATTTAATCCTGTATTTCTTTGATCATTATATTCATTCTGCTTTGAAAATAATATTCCCTGAACACAAACATAGTGTGATACTCTCCAAATTAAATACCTTCAGTGGCTGTCCTCTACCTATAGGCTGAAATCCTCTTAAATCAGGGTGACAAGATGAACCCTGCTCTGGTCCCTCTCTGCTTTCCGAGCTTCACTCCCCTCCATGCTTGCCAGAATACTACCTTCCTCTGGGAAAACCCAAACCCTGCCATACTCCTTCTCATTTCTCAGCCCCCACTCACTCATTCTGTGCCTACAATATTTTGTCTTTGTAGCAGTTACAATAAATGCTTGTTCATTTTTCCCTCTCCACTAGAAAGAAGGACCCATGATCTTTAGAAGGAACTGCGCCCATATGATGCCCTGGCACTCTTCTGACTGTCAGAGCAGTTGACCGCACTCATTTATGGAAAGGTAATTCGAGCACTATAAACTTCGCACACTAACGTATAAAGTTTCAGAAGTTTTACTGTATGTATTTACCTGTGAAACCATCACAGCAATTAAGATAATGCAAATCCAGTACTCATGTTTCCCATTCTCTTTTAATACCTCTCTTGCTTCACCTCTCTCTGCCCTCCTCCATTCCCAGACAAACCACTGACTTCCTTTCTAACATTATAGGTCATTGTTTCCTAGAACATGAAGTCATAGACTATATAGTCTTTTTAGTTTTGCATAATTTTATTGAGATTCATCCACATTGCTGCATAAATCAATAGTTCATTACATTTTATTGCTGAGGAGTTCAGTATGGGTGTGAGTTTACTGCTGTGAGTTTATCGTGTTGATGGACAATTGGGTTGATTCAAGTTTGTGGATGTTATCAAAAACACTGCTATGACGATTCATATCCAAGTTTTCACCAGGACAAGTCTTCTCTCTTTTTAAGTAGATAGGTAGGAAGGGGAGGACATGCTTCATGTGGCAGGTGCACGTTGACATTTTCAGCAAACTCCTAAACTATTTTCCAAACCGGTCTTGCCATTTTACATCCTACTAACAGTATGCAAGAAGTCCCATTTCCTCTACATACTTGTCAACATTTAGTATGGTTTGTTTTAATTATAGCCTCACTAATATGTCTATTGTGTGATTTCATTGGGGTTTTAATTTGCATTTCCCTAATGACTAATCCTGTTCAGCATCTTTTCATGTGCTTATTTGCCACCCATATTTCTTCTTTAGTGATGTATCTATTCAAATCATTTACCCATTTTAGTGGGTTGTTTTCTTCTTAAATTTGAGAGTAATTTATATATTTTGAATTGCAAATCAGACACATGAGCTTCAAATATTTTTTTCCCAATCTGTGGCTTATCTTTGCATCCTCTAAGCACTGAAGAACAGAAGAGTTTTGGTGATGTCCAAAATATTAACTTGCTTGGTTTTTATAATTATGCTCTTTGATAATATCTAACAAATCTTTGCCCATCCCAACACAGCATAAATGTACTCCTGTCTTCTACAAGATTTGAAGTTTTAGGTGTTACAGTCATGTCTCTGATCTATTTTGTGTTCAATTTTTCAACTTTAACATAAGATATATAGCTCAGTGCTCACTTTTCCATTTTCTTTTGAAGAAACAAATCTTTTTCTGAACTGTCTTTGCATCTTTGTCTGAAATCAGTTTATACAAGTATGGCTCTGTTTCTGGGTCTCTCTTCTGTTGCAGTGACCTATTTGTCTACGACACCAGTGCTGTGTTCTTTTGATTACAATTGCTTTATAAGCCTTTAGGTCAGAGAGATTTAATTCTTCAACCTTACCCTTCCTTTTTAAAAATTTTTGGATACACTAAGTTCTCTGCATTTCTATATGACCTTTTAGAGTCATCTTTTCAAAATCAAATATACTTATTCTATATATGAATTTGGGAAAAGGCATCATATTGAGACTCCTGACTACATGCAAGCTATAGTTCTCCATTTATTTAGACCTTTAATATCTCCAGAAATAAGTATTCTACAGTTTTCTGTGTACAGGTTTCACACCAATTCTTTTGGTGGTGCCAAAGCCTGAACACAGGACCATGCAATTTGTAGCACACACTCAACTACCAAGGTACAACCCCAGCTACACTTCTTTTATTAGATTTATTACCTAGAATTTCATATTTTGGTGCTATTGTAAATGACATTTTCATTTCAGTTCTTGATTGTTCACTGCTAGTATATAGCAACACAATTGATTTTTATATATTGATATTGTATCCTGCAACCCAGCCAGAGGACACGGGAAGTAAGGAATACGATTAACATCTCAATGCCTTGGGGACAAAGGAAGTGGAACACAATCACTCACAGGAAAAAGTGTGCTGTGGGAACATATTTGCTGGGGGAGAGATGAGAAGCAAAGATATAGCTCAGCATTTCCTTTGATAGTTTGAGTGAGCCTTAAGCCCATCAGCCAAGTGATCTGGGGAAAATTTAAAGATTTATTGTGTATGGTCCTTCCTGTAATCGCTTTTGAAATGTGAAACAGTACAATCCCACCACAACAGAGGAACTCACGAGGCGCTCAGGACGATCAATGTGCTTTGCTTTCTTTTGGTCTTGTTGTAGGCTAGTTTCTGCTTCTTTCCTCATCTTATGATCAAATGCTACATTTCAGAAATAGGACGTAAGCTGGAATATTTTCTCTGTCTAGCTACTTGCATTTTGAGTGGTTAGTCTTTAGTTCCAGACTCAAAATTCTACACAATAATTTATATTGACTACATGCATAAGCAAATATATAGCTGTTTGTATTGACCCTGGCATTGCTAAAGAGGACACCTGCTTAACTATTCAATGCACCCTTATTTGCTACATTCATTCTCCACAAAAGAGAATCCAGAGGTCACGTGGTCCTCTACTCCACACAACCAGAATTCTATCTGCTCAGAACACAAAAGAAAGGAAACTATTGTTGCAAACCCCAGAAAACAAACCACTTCTCTGTTCCACATTGCATAGAAAACTGCTTAGTTTTCTAATTGGAAGGATTTTTGGTTGAATGTGAGCATTTTCAGCTGCATCCCTGTCTCCAAATGATTATCACTACCAGAAGCATCATCTTGGAATATGAGAGACACGCTGTATAGAAGACAGAGGCAGACACCAGAGAAAGCACGCAGAATTAGCATCAAAGAATGAAATCCCCTCAAAATTCCCTGCCTGCGTCCTCTCTCCAGGTTAGTATGTCAATCACTTGGGAGGCCCTGGCATTCCTGGCAAGTTCTAATCTTCTCACTCTGCATGTTCTCACTGGTCACAAACCACTACCTGTATACCCTGAAAGTCATTCATCTGAATGTTTATATTGTTTTATAGTAACAGTATATCTTATAACATCAAAGTTTAAAAAACACAAATAAGTCTAAATAAGAAAACTAAAGTCATCTTTAAACTTACCACCCAGAAACTACCACTCTTAGCCTTTGGCAGATATTTACCCGTGTTTTTCTACATTTTAAGCAAAACTGAAATTAAAGCTATCCATAACTGCTTTCTAAGTTGCCAAACAAGTAGAATAATGGAAAGATATTTATTACTTTGGAATATGATCTTAGCAAAATAAGTGAAGATGATTAAAAGGTTAAGAACTTCAGCAAAGCCACGAGATAATTATGGCATACACCTAAACTACCTGCAGCCAGCCCATGGTCTACTACTGAAGAGGAATCCTAATTACAGACCCACATCAAAAACACTGTCACTTAGCCCAGTCATATGAGGCAGGCCAAGCCAAAAGCAAAGCCCTAAGATGTAAACAGAAACATGTGGTCCACATACTTAAGGATGGGAAAATGGAAGGCAGTGTGGTTTCTCATAAGATACTAAAATGCCAAAGGTACGGAGAAAGAGACACAATTAAGGTGGAAGATCCCACACACCACTTGCCACTTCTGTGCATTCCATGTCTCTCACCACAGTGCAAGGCAGATACCTTTGAGCTTAGTAAGGACATACTCAATCTAAGGGCCATCCAAGCAGTTTTGCTTAAGTTTGGACAGGTAGAAACTAGAGTACATTATAAAAACAATGAAAAATAATCTCCTCTAATTAAAACTGTTCCATTATGATTTAGGTAGAAGCCATCCTGCATGTTAGAGGTGGATGTTCACAACTGAGCTGGATAATTT